ATTTTCATTAAATTTGGCCTCTGCTCTTTTCCGTCTTCATATGCCAGAGTGCGAAAAGCCTCGGTTTTAGGAAGGCCACGCTTCCAGAGAGCTTTGTTTTACTCGGCTGTTTGAATTCCATGACTGTTCAAGCACAAACTGTGGATTGGAATGAAGTGGGTCTGAAGAACTCTCTTTGTTCTCCATATCCTGTGTCCGACCCACAGGTAAGCCGCACCCTCCCTCTTTCCCCTCTACCTCTCTCACCCTTTGCGTGGGTCAACTGTGGTGGGAAAGTGAAGGGGGGGCAAACACTGGGGTCATCAACCTCCCTCACAGACGGGGAGATGACAGACCCTGCCAATGGAGTGGCAGCATTGAGAACCTGCGAACCATGGATTGGGCTTTTTCACATGGACTTAGCTTGTAGGCTTGGAGGAATGTTGTGATGATGGCTGTAATCACTCACACTGTGCCTTTGTTACCTGGGACGCTCACCTGTTTGGGGAGCTGGTTCCTTCTCCAGACTGAGCTTTAGTGGAGTTTAGGGTCTGGCCCAAAGGCACGGCCAGGGATGAAAGCCCTCTTACCTCCTGAGCTGAGACGCAGAGAGAAGGGAAAAAAGAGAAACGGAGGTAGCCAGGGAGAGTAATGCAATACGGATGTTTCCAGCTCGGGACGAGAGGGAAAGTGAGGTTTGTAGTTTTAAATAATCATTTTCTTTTTTGACATTCTGCAGCAGTCGCTTCTGTGCAGTCGGCAGCAAAGCCCTTCCTCTGGCCAACAGGAAGAATCAGCCAGTCCGGCCTGATTGCTTAATGACAGATGCCAGCCGAACAAAGGAGGCTCTGATAGCTCGCATAAATGAAAAGGTTTTTCTAGGCCTGGATAGTCAGAGGAGGAACTGAAAGGAAAATGAGAGAGAGTGAATGGAAATAGAGAAGAGCTGATTTCAAGGTGTTTCTTTTGTAGTTTGTTAGGCTTCTCTTGCAGTTTCCCACAGTTTTTGCCCACACATTTACACATTTATTTCTTTTACCAGGACCTTCAGATAGTTTAGGGAATGAGAAGGGATCAAAAAATTGATGAATTTAACAGAGACAACGTGTTTGTGTAAGACGTAATTATGTATGGATTGCAGAGGAGGATCTTTACACAGCCTACAGTAGGAACATCTGGTGTTAGTTAGGAGTGATTGTAGGTTTATAAGAAAAGACAGACCTATTTACACTGGATCACACTCACACAGTTTTTCCTATATATTAATTTATTCATGAACACATAACAAATATATAAATATATAATTAAAAAATGTAAATAAAAATCTATCATTTTTAAGACTTTTTGGTGCATAATGCCATGGTTGTATCACAATGCGAAAATCATTAAAAAAAAAAAAAAAGAATACGATTGTTGCATAATCTTTTATTATTTTTTATGGGAAATTGTATAAAAAATAAAATATTATTTTTTTCTGCTTCACTGCTTATTAATATTTGAAAGCAAAATTACTAAAATCATTAAAATAATGAGATATGAGATTGTTGCATGTTATTTTACAATTATTTTTAGGATTTTTTTTTTTTTAACTGTGTCGCTACCAATTAATATATATTTATTTATTATTTTTTTTTATTTTATATTATCTTTTTTCTATGATAAAAATATTTAAATATGTATTTATTACTTGAGGGTTACACTATACTAAATGTACACATTAAATGTGACCCTGGACCACAAAACCAGTCGTAAGTCGCTGGGGTATATTTGTAGCAATAGCCAAAAAAACATTGTATGGGTCAAAATTATCGATTTTTCTTTTATGCCAGAAATCATTAGGATATTAAGTAAAGATCGTGTTCCATGAAGATATTTTGTAAATTTCCTACCGTAAATATATCAAAACGTAATTTTTGATTAGTAATATGCATTGCTAAGAACTTCATTTGGACAACTTTAAAGGCGATTTTCTCAGTATGTTGATTTTTTTGCACCCTCAGTTTCCAGATTTTCAAATAGTTGTATCTATCCTAACAAACCATACATCAATGGAATGCTTATTTATTCAGCTTTCAGATTATATATAAATTTCAATTTCAAAAAATTGACCCTTATGACTGGTTTTGTGGTCCAGGGTCATAAATGTAAACTTTTCTTGAAAATGCTATAAAAGTTCAAAACCATATAAAAAACAACCTGAATACCTGAATTTTTGAACTCTCTCATTTATCATTGACCCCATTATCTAAATAGAATTTTTAGCACCAGCCGTCGTGCTATACTTCATACAATATTTACAGTATCTCATCCTTTCAACATAACACCTTCTTGAAGATACCTTCAGCCACCCTTGAAGATCAACCACATGCTGTACTTAACCACTTAAAGCTGGCCCATCCTCGGTTATTAGGCTTAACGGTGTTTACGAGTGCTTAAGAAGCTGCCTTAATGAGTCTCATGAGTTACTGTAAGACATTAGGACTGAGCAGCTCCATTAGGGTCCTGGTGCAGCTACCAGAGTGGCAGTCAAGTGGTTTATGTGGGCTCCAGCTGTGTACAGTAATTGCTAGAGGTTGTGCATTCTTTCTCTGCACTCACTTTCATCCCGGAGGTCTGGAAGCCCACAACACGACTCTTAATTGTGTGTCGTAATAACCAGCGAATTAAAAGGCAATGTAAACATGTGGTGATTCCGTCAAAGGGAGATGGTAACGTGTTAAGAGACTTAGGCAGCTGCACACACTCAAACGGCGGTGGTACTTCTGGAATGTGCTTTTGCTTTTGCTTTATAATTTGGATTTTTTTATCGATCAAATGGTTGGAAATATTTAGAATACTCCATGTTTTATTTATCTGAAATGGCGCATTTGTCATCATAGCCGTTAATGCTCAGGATTTAACGTTGTGATGGGGGGCCCAGTTTTCTGTAATGATTTTGGCCTGTCCAAAAGTCCTCTTTGAAAAACAAATTGGTACTTCAGAAGTATTACAGATCCGTTGCTGACTATCTAGAAACAGATTACACAAATAGCTTGAGGTGTTCCTGATCCGCGGCTGCAATTGGCAGTCCATCTTTTGGCCCCGCAACACTCAAAGTTCTCCATGTGAGGTCACCCCAGCTCCCCCCACACAAACGGCCCTGCCTCCAGCCCCCCTCCCCCTTATCTGAGCCTGTGGAGCCCTGGAGAGGAGGAGCAGGGCACCGGGTCAAAGTCTTTTCCTCTTTGGATCTCGAGGCTTGCTGGGAGAGTCTTGGCGAGAGAATGGCTGCATTAGAGCAGGGGTTGGGGGTCAAGATTTTAATTCTGTTAAAGAACAGCTGGTTTGAGTTTCTCTTCACGTTGCTCTCCCCTCCCTCTCCCCACAAATCCAGAGAGATGAAAAATTTGTTCAGAGGGGAACCGGTAAAATAAAAAAGGTTTACGGTCTAAAGCGCTTACCCCTACCCTTCTGTAGCATTAGACAGGAATGCAATAACGTCAGCATTTGGCCAGGTTCAGACTGAATTAAAACAAGGAAGTGCTTTTTGTATTTTTGTGCCTTAGCAGCTTGTTGAAACTTAATTAAAAGGCTTAAAGTACTGGAAAGGAAATTCAAAAGAATGGCTAAAAGGAAATACCCCCTTCTAAAATTCAACTACCGAGTAAATTGTTAGATTAAACTTGAAATATGAATGGAGGTTTAACAGAACAACTGGCAATTTCAACCCATTTTCTTTTTACTTCATTGGATGGGGTTTAATTTATAATTATAAGTATACATATATTCATTTATTTTTTTCCATTTTTGTATATGTGTATATTTTGTATATTTATAATTAGAATTTTTATCATTTTATACAGAGAGAATTTTTATAAGTTTATACAGAGAGGTTTAATTCCTAATTATAATTAATATGATTGTATTTAATCATAGATAGATAGATAGATAGATAGATAGACTGTTTATACATTTATATAATGTGGTTTAATTCATAATTATAGATAAATATTTATTTATTTATTTAAAAAATGTACAAATATACTTTGATCTATATGTGTATATATGTTTTGATTTTCTTGTTAATATTTAATATAAATATTTTTTTTTTATTTTTTTTATTTTGGGCGGAATGCATTTTTTAGTTTTTTTTTTTAATATTATTATTTTATTTACAAATGTATTTATTTATTCATCTATTTATTTTCTTGCAGATGATTTTTGGAACACACAAGCCGCCAACTCTGTCATTCCATGTGATTTTTGTTTGATTTGAATGCTCATGCCCAGCTCACTAACATCTAGGGCTCTTGTGAGGGGAGGGGGGAGAGGACGACTATAAATGGAAAACTAATAACAGATTTTCAGTCTGCTTTCTCCAAAAAGCTGGCCTCAGGCTGTGTTGGTGTGTGGCTCGGCAGCAATCAGAGGTCATAATTTCATTGGCGGTTAGCATCAGGTTCAATTTTTCTAGTACGTTACATTTACCAGAAAGTCTGGTTTGTGTTACTGTGTACACTGGATGAATCAGCTCTGAGCTGTAGAATCATTCAGCCTCTCCAAGAAGTGGAGACCCTGAAGGAGGCACAGACACTCTCATTATCCCACAGCTATCTCTTTGTTCAGGCAGCGGACTTTGGACAAGCAGACCTAACACAGAGAGGCCGTTTCTACCTTCCCGGAGTCTACCGATCCCGTCCCAATTGACTTTATGTACCAGCAGATGTGTATATCAAGAGATCCCCCTAGTGGTAGTGGCCAAATGAGTCGGACCCCCAGTCCCCCGATGATGGTGTTTATTTTTATTAAGATTTAGCAGGTGGGGGGTTAGAGGCTGGAAGTGGTTGAGGGTTGATTTGAGCTTTCGGGAGAGAGCTCAGGCTTCAATTGGGAATTCCACAGTTATTGACATTATTCACTTCATGGATTCAAGCGGCCAAATCGTAACCAATTTTGCACATAAAAAAAAACATTAATCAAATTGGTATATTTTAATTTCAACCAACTCACCATGTCCATCCTTTGCTTTTGCTTGTTTCCAGGAGTGCGATCAGGTCCACATCGACGACGTGTCGTCGGACGACAACGGGCAAGATCTAAGGTAAAGTTAGCACCATGCTAGCCCTTTCACAGTTCACTATGACTAAAGTCGAGCTCAAAAGCCATTCTCTCTCTCTCCTCTCTGTTCAGTACATATAATTTTAGCACAGACGGATTCCACGCTGCTGCCACTAGTGCCAACCTGTGTCTGGCCACTGGCGTACGAGGAGGTGTGGACTGGATGAGAAAGCTCGCCTTCCGCTACAGACGAGTAAAAGAAATTTACACCACCTATAAAAATAACGTCGGAGGTAATCCCCCAATAAACTGCTTTGCTAAAATTGCTGGGGAAGAGGGGTGGTGTGTCAACAAAAGCACTCATAAGTTTCTCAAATAATCCCTTATGCAGAAACCACTTGGTCTGGGTAAATTTCGAAATTTCTCAAAGTATTCGCGGGACGGTCCAACTCAAACAATGTTTCTGTTCATTTCAGGTCTGCTTGGCCCAGCCAAAAGGGAAGCCTGGTTGCAATTGCGAGCAGAAATTGAAGCCCTGACCGACTCCTGGTTAACACTGGCACTGAAAGCACTAACATTAATCCACTCAAGGTAGGCCTTAGCACGAGCGAATTATATAGAGCCCATCTCTGATACACATAAATTAGTGAGAGGCATGAATACTGGTTTGCTTTATGTCCCAATACCTCAAAGAACACTTACACTCTGTATTATACAGCATTTTAAGAGGACAACAAGTAAAGATCCATTTATCATAGGGCGTTTTGGATGACAAATGGCATGCCTGGATAGCCTTGTCCTCCCTTGTGCACTTTAACTTGACATACTTTGCCATTCAATTACAGATCAAACTGTGTGAACATCTTAGTGACCACAACACAGCTCATACCTGCCCTCGCCAAGGTCCTCCTGTATGGACTGGGAGTAGTATTTCCAATTGAAAACATTTATAGCGCCACGAAAATAGGTAAGTGCGAGCTCAGTATTAACTACCTGTGTGTATGAATGGACTCTATTGGAGTGTGGCCGTAATTACTGCGATATTACGTGTAAACAGCGCGAGACACATGGCATGTGATTGGGTTAGGCTACAGAAGTGGCGGACACACGAGAGGGTTGATGTTCAGGAAGAGGTCTAATCAGGCTGGGATTATTTTCTTGGAGCTCAGGCTGAACTGGGCCTCTCCTTTTCAGGTCTACATATGAAACCACTTCAGGAAATTTATGTCATTCCACTTTGACATTTTTTTTCTTCTTTTCGGCCTCTCCGCTTTTTCGAATGCAAAATAAACACCAACCTTTACTTTCATACTTTTGTTCGCGCAAAGCTCAGCGCCTCCCTCGCTCACATTTGCATGGGAGGTTGATTTAACTTGTTAAACTCCATTTGTCCCACGTTCTGAGAGGAATAAGGCACACTTAATGCTTTTCAGGCTACTTTTATCTGAGCATCGATCTCATCGTATCTCCAAGCCAAGGCAAAGTGTTTACACTGCGTAATTTTGTGTAACTTATTGTGTATTTAAAGAGCCCCTCTCTGGGCCTGGATCTTGGATGTGGCTTCCTTGCTTTCCGCAGCAACCTAAACCTGCTTCTCCTCTCCCCAGGAAAAGAGAGCTGCTTCGAGAGAGTTATCCAGAGGTTCGGGAGGAAAGTTGTTTATGTGGTGGTAGGGGACGGCGTGGAGGAGGAGACAGGGTCGAAAAAGGTATGAAGACGCCTAGAACTCTATAGCACTTTCCCTTCAAACCTTTAATTTCTTCAGGCCATTCCCTGAAAATGTCATTGGACCAGCGAGAGATTTATTCTCGCATTGTAATCAGCTCATTTCCCCTGACAGCTTGAATGTAAAGGGAGGCAAGATGACATAATTACATGTCCCTGCATGTGACTGCCGTTTCACCTTGTGTAATGCTAGACAAGTCCTCTCAGGCATTTTAGAGGGGCCGGTTCATAAATATAATATGCGTTTAAGGCGCTTAAATCATTGTTAGATAAGTCGAGGATATTCAGAAGAACATTAGGACCATCAGAGGAGTGTTGTTTTCCTGTCTCTTGTTGTTCAACCCAGAAGATTTATGTTACCTGCCGCCTGTGTATTCAGAACATCTGCCAAGTTTTCCAAAGCTATAAGCCACAAAACTTGAAATTATTCATTGTGTAATTAATTATCAAAGCAGCTTGTTGTTCAGACAGGCTACAAACAGACGAAAATGTGTTGGTGTGATTATTATATCGTGCCATGTGATTTGTTCCATGTTGTCAGTTAATCATGCAAGGAATGTGAACGTATAAGTTTTACATGTCAGTCCCCATTTCCTCCGAGATAAAGTGTTTAGACGGAGTGCAGGGGAGTTTAATAAGTCCTTGGCACTTAAGAAACCCAGCTTGATATAAAATGCCACAGTTTTGTCAGGGTGACTTTGTATGAAACCACCAAAGCAAAGTTATACCTTTGTATACTTTCGTTTTTTCCATCGTATCCCAGAAACAATTCCCTCTAGTTAATAACTTGACCGAGGCAAAAGGAGATACCATCTCTGGCTTTTAAAGTTAAAAGCAAAGACAATTTACAAAACAAAAGAAAAGAGTCTTTTAAGGGTCAGTGCAAGCTTCTCTAAGCGGAACATATGCCTGAGAGAGGCTATACCTTTGATAAGACTCAGTAATGGTTTGTGTGTGGACGACTCTGAGCTGACAAGCTTCTTTCATTCTGGCAGAATCATATTTCCCTGTGGCCTCTCCCAGGAACAATGCCTCATTTGCAAAGTTGTGTTCGGATAAGTTTGTGCAGAGGTGCTGTATATGTATAGTGTATTTAATAGTTATTTCCCACCGGGCCTTACTTTTTTCTAAGGTGTAGTAAAACATTTTGCTATGTTTTGTAATGGGGCCTTTGTTGTTTTTTATATTTGAAATATTTTTTATTATTTTTTACCAACAATATTAAAAGATTCCGTGTTGACACATGGCCGCAATTCGTCTTAACCCTAAACCTTTTTCAAAGTGGAGGAGAGTGAATTTATGGCGCTGCAGCTGCTGGCCCTGGTTACTGTGAATTGGCTTTTTTTCCGAAGCCATCAAAATGTTTTACAGCCCTGTCTACGCGGGGGACTCGGCAAGGGTTCACACCTGTGACAAAAACTGAGCTACCGATGCCTTTGGAACTCAGCAGGACTCCGATCCCACTGCAACTTGGTGTAATGTTTTGTCTCTTTATGTCTCAAGCGATGGTACAAAGACAGTGGGGCACAACCCCTTCGCTTTCCTCGTTTCGCCAGACCTGTTGCCCTGGATGTCCTACGCTTCTTATTTATAAACTTCGAGAGACTTTGTGGAGCGGCACTGGCCCCAAAAAAAGAAACTTGTGCCTTTTCGCATTACAACGTACTTTGATTCCACTACACCAAGAAGTTTAAGGAGGAAAAAAAAGGATTTTCTAAGTAATTTAAGGAAAAAAAAATTAACGAAACATTATTTACATTGCAGAGACAATCGTGTACATACATTTTTTTGTGTGTGTGTGTAAATTTGTAATCACTGGACTATTCCTTCCTATATTAATTAAGGTACATGCTTTGGAAAGCCGTTTCATGGAAGTACGTACGTAAAGGCGTTGGCGCAGTAGCTCGTGCAAAGCCTGAAAGTGTTGATGTGTTCAAGGTTTCATTCAATAAATAAATGTAGATAAGGATTTTTGTGTGTGTGTGTGTGTGTGTGTGTGTGATAATTGTTTTGTCATGACCAAAAGCATGGATGTCAAGTGTCAATAATTTCGTATTTTTCTTCAGTGATGTTTTGTTTCCTCCTTTGTACGCTTTGCTCCTCAAAGGTGGTGAGAACTTGTGAGTCCATGTGGAGACTTACTCTCTTTCAGTCAGGATTTCATAGCGAATTCAATCCCAATGGTAGCTCAAACTCCAAGGAAGAACATAAGCAGCATAATAAGAATAATAATCTTCTGAATGTCAAGCTTCAAACTGAGTGTAAATGTCTGTATCCCCAGTACGATCTCCTGCCCGAGCTGGACATTGAACCTCAGCGTCCGCGACAGGCATTTAAGCTTAAATAGGTTTTATTATCTTTTGTACCGGCGCTAAAGCAGAAAGTCTTGTACAGCAAGTGTAATTTTGTATGAAGTAGTCTTTTTATTTTGATTGTGTCCACTTGGAAATCGCTGTAGTTGGATTTTCATGATGTATATTGGTAGTTCTAAGGTAACTGTGGACTGGAAACTCTAGCTCTTAGACTTTAAGAAAGAAAGCCACTACTCACTCACACCTACACACACACACACTCACAATGGAGTTGCGAACATGTGCTATTGACTGTGAATTTCCCCAGCTAACTCAATCTGTTTTTAATTTTCCCTCCCGGCACATGATGATGTTCGGCTCCTGCAGGTGAGGTCGTCTTCTCTGGCCTAGTTTTTCTCACCACATTTACAATTTCACCCCTCTTATAGCGAATTCAATCCCAATGGTAGCTCAAACTCTAAGGAAGAACATAAGCAGCATAATAAGAATAATAATCTTCTGAATGTCAAGCTTCAAACTGAGTGTAAATGTCTGTATCCCCAGTACGATCTCCTGCCCGAGCTGGACATTGAACCTCAGCGTCCGCGACAGGCATTTAAGCTTAAATAGGTTTTATTATCTTTTGTACCGGCGCTAAAGCAGAAAGTCTTGTACAGCAAGTGTAATTTTGTATGAAGTAGTCTTTTTATTTTGATTGTGTCCACTGTAGTTGGATTTTCATGATGCATATTGGTAGTTCTAAGGTAACTGTGGACTGGAAACTCTAGCTCTTAGACTTTAAAAAAGAAAGCCACTACTCACTCGCACCTACACACACACACACACACACACACACACACACACTCACTCTCACAATGGAGTTGAGAACATACATGTGCTATCGACTGTGAATTTCCCCAGCTAACTCGATCTGTTTTTCATTTTCCCTCCCGGCACATGATAATGTTCTGTTGGGCTCCTGCAGGTGAGGTCGTCTTCTCTGGCCTAGTTTTTCTCACCACATTTACAATTTCACCCCTCTTATTGCATCGCCTGCCACCCCCCATACCGGGGAATCACATTTTGCTGCTAGATCACGGTAACATTAGATGTTTTCTAGATTTAACACACTTTTTTTTTTTTAAATAAATGATGCAATCATAATGCAAACTGGAAATAATTTACAATATGTGGGCCTCATTGTGAAACAGTTTGTTGTGTCTGCAAAAAGATGTGTACAGATGTTTTTGACATTTATTATTTGATTGTGTTTAAATTAATAAAAACTGATTTGTGAACTGTTACACACATTTTTGCAAGTGATTGAAATGGTGGCTCTGCAATCTTCTGCCATGGAGTTTGTATTTATTGACTGTTTGCTCCTGCGATCAAATGCCTCCAAAATGAAGTGTTTCGGAATAGCGGTTTTCTGCAAATGATGAATGTCCAGAGATCATTATATTAACATTTTACATATACACACGCAGAGAAGGACACTTTATAAAAGTCCCATTTTATGGGATGGGAATGTAGATTTTGTGTGGTCTCTTCGTTTCTTCTCGTCGTTTGGTGGTCTGCAATTCAGCATTTCTCCCTCTGACAGATTCTCAGACAACACGTCATGTATGGCACTTTTGTTTAAAACATCATAACTGATGTAATGCCATATAAAGCTCCATGTCCCTCTCATCTCTGTGCAAAGCAACTGTTAAAACAATATGTGGGATTTCAAAGTGTACATTCAAAATCAGTGTGTTCAGTTCATTTTAAGGGACCTGCTTCCACACAATGTGATCTATAGACAATGTCTAAAATTCTCATAAATTACCAGAAAAATGTCCTTTTGTTATGATGAGTCTGATCATAGCTTTGATTTTCTGCTTCAGCCAGAATTTCTGAATTCAGATGAGGGGAATTAGCCGTAATCATGCTACATAGGCACCGCAGATTTGTCAGTCGGGCGGTTTGTGTTATTCTTGGGGATAGTTGAAGGTGAAACCCTCACCTAATTGTGATTTTTCTTTGCAGCACAGCCAAATGCTTCCAATAACAGCTCCTCTCCACAAATGTTTCCCTGTGTTTTTCGAAAAAACACACCGCTTGGCCACTTGCAGTTGGGAGTTGAGTTGATTTATATAACACATGAAAAATATTTATGAGGCTGATTTTATGAGGTGGCCAAAATGAAGATGTAACGAGAGACTGGCAGAGGAATAGTCCTATCCTGCAAGTGCTCAGAAGAATAAAGCATTCATGGAATCTTATTTTACACGGTTCTGTTCTTCAATATTGAAGTCAATTATGTTTTCAGATGGCATCTAAGTGATATGCCAGGGGACTTGAAGGCTGGCAGGAACAGCAGATAGGGCTGTTATCCTTTGGAATGCAAAGAAAAGAAAAAAATTCCCACTACTCAGCAACTGAAAGCCAAAATACTGTCAGAGGCTCATTTACCACATTGGGACAGAATGGGTTTTGTTCTCTTTGATATACAATAGGGCCCAAAAGACCCCAAGAGACCACAATGAAAAAAAAAAAAAGATTTTAACCTCCACATAAACAATAGTAGCATTTTTAATGCAAAACACAAAACATAACATGTTTGGGTTATATATATATGTGACCCTGGACCAGAAAACCAGTCTTAAGTCGCTTGGGTATATTTTTAGCTTTTGTTGTTTTATTCACATAGATTAGATTATTTACCATTTATGTATTACATTCTATGTGTTTCAGTCACCCCTAAAAAAATTGTTTAAAAAAAATCACTTTATACTTCTATTCCAGTAATGCCTTGACAAACAGCACTAGAGTGATTTACTGCCTTAGCCCAGACACCGATTTCATGCAGATTCATACAGAAAGAGCCACTCCTGGTGTATCGAAAGTGAACTAATATTGTATTACATACCTATCAAACATTAAAAACTCGTTCCGCATGAGTTATTTTACAACCAGAGGGTCTATTAAAAGGCCCTTGTTCCCCACAGATGCGGTAGCTAATGTGTTTCAAGCTGAGGGAGTTCACTCTGTCTTTACACTGCTGACAAGACAGAGAGCGAGAGGCTCTAATAAAGGACTTGAAATTCATATTCCTCCCACTTTACTCCAACAGTAACATTATGAATCTACATAAGTCAGTGGTGCCTGTCATTTTACTGCCATCGTCTTTAATTATGATGTTTGCCTCTGGGAGAAGAAAAACATATTTGAAGTTATTGTTGCCTCTTTTCATGGTGGGTTTTAGACAGGCCGATTTACTGCTCAGAGTAAAGACTTACTTAAATTCTCCCGGGGAGTGAATGACCTGCCATTACAGCTGTAGGTATCGCTGCTATACTGGGCCTTTTGGTTCGTATGGTTTTGTTTTGTTTTGTTTTGTTTTTTCATGAGGGGTGAAAAAGGTGAGATAGTTACAGATCCAAGAACTTTTATATAAGATAATTTAATAATTTAAAGGTGTACACTGCAAAAAATGCTTTTCTAGCTTAGATTTTTTGTCTTGTTTCCAGCTAAAATATCTAAAAATTCTTAAATCAAGAAGGATTTTCTAGACCAGTAAAAACTATTGTCTTGTTTTCAGAAAAAGTCAAGTCAAAATTAAGTGAGTTTTTGCTTGAAACAAGCAAAATAATCTGCCAATGTGGTAAGCAAAATAATCTTATTTCAAACAGAAAACATACAAACAAATATACAAAAAATCCTAATACAAAAAAATCTAAGCTAGAAAAGCATTTTTTGCAGTGTACTCAGTTTCACTGGCTCTTATTCATTTATCATTACAAAAGCTTGATTAAAGGAATATGAGGCTAAAGTGAAAGATATTGAATTATCCCAATGCTTCTCCTTTTGACCTACCTGAGCTCTTATTTATGCACATCTTCCACATGTCTAGAACTCTCTGCTCACTTATGTGGGTTTACCATAAGCAGCCACTTCTTGTATAAAGTTTATTTAGGTACAGGTTTTATTACAGAGGTGGGGGTGTGTGTTTTCTAGATGTGGGCATTACAGAAGGTCATGTGATGTGGTCACAACCTGATTAGACGACTTTTATTATATTTATTTTGAGAACTTACCTAACACCTAAAACAATGCTGTGTGCTGGGCTTAATGTGCTCATTATATGTCAGTACATGGTGATATTTTTACCAGCTGAAAACTCACCAAGAGCTTATAAAATGTGTAAAGGAGTCACAACAGCACCAGGAATTCCTCCGTTCGAGATCTGCTGTAAGGAGACGGCAATTCCGATAGCCGTAACAAACTGTAATGGGCAACATAGCTATTATGATGAGAAGAACCAGGTATGCTAGAGCATTTTGTCCTTTTTAGAGTCACATCTTCTGATATCACATCCTGTTTTTGGTTTGTTTAGAT